AGCCGCGTCGGGAAACTCTGCGCGAAAGGCGTCGTCAAGATGAGAGAAGCAGCGGTACTGGGTGTGAAGCTTCCCGCATGTCTGACCAGTGCGGTCACCTGCGCGAATGACATACGGGCAGCGACCACCACCCCCAGCCGCCCCATGATGAGCAAACCACTCACGTAGCTCCTGAGACGAAAGGGGCTGACGCTGCTGCTGCTGCCTCTGACCACCGCCAAGGCCTCCCCTCTGGCTGGTACCACCCCAGCCGCCACCACTGCCGCCGCCTCCACTCTCACTGCCGCCCCCACTGCCGCCTCCACCACTCCCACTGCCGCCACCACCGCCGCCACCTACACCTCCACCCCCACCACCACTCCCTCCGTCACCGCCGCCCCCTCCACCTCCTCCACCACCCCCACCACCGCCTCCACCTCTGCCACCCCCACCGCCCCTGCCTCCCCTGCCCCTGCCGCTGCGGCGCCTCCCACTAGGGGCAGACGCAGCTCCTACCTCCTCAGCACGAAGGTAGTCAACAGCTGTAGCAGAGGCGACGGAGGGGACAAAGGGGGAGGGCGAACACCCCTCAAAGAAGGGAGTGCGAGGAGTGCCACGAGAAGCGCCTACAGCGACTATGCTAGTCTCAGCTGCTAGGAGGTGCTTCTCGAGCAGGTCGACAGTGAGGTCGGTGGGGTCAAGGGCGAGAAGGATGTCCCTGACAGCGCTAAGAGAGTCAGGGAGGCAGGTGACTATGAAGTAGAGAGTGATGAACATGGGAGGAGGGTTCTTGGTGAGAAACTCGGCGGGAAGCGCAGCTCGGTAGCGAGTGTCACTAGTGCGAAGGTGAGTGACGAGGTCGGCTACTGTGGCAAAGGCAGACAGCTCTGGGAACAGGTAGGGCAGGAGAAGGCGGTCTAGAGCTGCAACCGGGGAGGAGTAACGAGCGACTACAGCGTCGTACAGGGCTCTAGCCGTCTTGTGCTGGCCAAAGTGAGCGCGTTCGGCTAACGGCAGGTGGTTGCGAACGGGTAGGCGAGCAGCAGCGTCACGAGTAAGCCACTGTGAGCGAGCTACACTGTCAGCTGTGGCGGCAGGGGCGAGAGAGGTGCCAGACGTGAGGTCAAACAGTGAAACACCGTCCTTGGAATCGCTCAGTAAGAACAGCTGCAGGTCGTTGACCCAAGCGTCGAACTCTATCGGGCGGCCCTCTGCATCGAACGAGAGTACACTGCGGGTGGCCATAGCGGGCAGAGCAGTAGGGCGCGCTAGTAGTAGGGCAGCACGCAAGCAGGGCAGGGCAGGGCGGCAGCCAGCACGGCAGCACGCAGGCAGGGCAGGGCAGCGTGGCTGCAAGTGGCGCGCGCGGGCAGGGCAGGTGGCGCAGCGGCCAGCAGCACGCAGGCAAGGCAGGACGGCTTAGCGGCGGCAGCGCGCGGGCAAGGCAAGGCGCGCGGCGGCGAGTGGCGCGCGTGCAGGGCGGGGCGTGCGGCGGCGAGCTGCGCTCGGGCAGGGCAGGGCGCGCGGTGGCGATCTGCGTGCGGGCAGGGCAGGGCGCGCGGCGGCGAGCTGCGCGCGGGCAGGGCAGGGCGCGCGGCGGCGAGCTGCGCGCGGGCAGGGCAGGGCGCGCGGCGACGAGCTGCGCGAGAGCAGGGCAGGGCGCGCGGTGGCGAGATGCGCGCGGGCAGGGCAGGGCGCGCGACGGCAAGCAGCGCGTGGGCTGAGCGGCGCAGCGCGGCAGCGAGCAGCGCGCGAGCAGGGCGCGCGGCGCGGCGGCGAGCGGCGCGCGGGCAGGGCAGAGCGCGCGGCGGCGCACAGCGCGCGGGCAGGGCAGAGCGCGCGGGCAGGGCAGGGCGCGCAGCAGCAAGCAGCGTGCAAGCAGGGCGGCGCGGCGCGGCGGCGAGTGGCGCGCGGGCAAGGCAAGGCAGGGCGTGCGCGGTAGCGCAACGCAGGGCAGGGCTGGGCGGCGTGGCGCTAACAAGGCGACGCGACTCGTGGGGTAGCGCGGTTCGGTGGGCCCTAAAAAAAATGGTCCTAGGCTAGGACCTGCTCTGAAACCATGCCAGCATAATAAACGAGAATGAAATGGACTAGCAGCAGGATGGGTACAAGTACTAACCCTAATTGGGTTGTACCCCATATGGGCTACCCCACTATAGCCTACACAAGATACAGCATATAAGTTTGACACACACCTGTATTCTTTGTCTCTGCCCCTCCTCTGCCCATCTGCCCTCATCGCTTAAAGCATCTTCTCCTCCCTCAATTGACAAACGACCCAGTGTGCGAGAGCTTGGCTGAGTGCCACTGCCCTGAGTTGTGATGCACTTCTACGGCTTGCTTATATTGGCTTCTCTAGCATAGAACACTTGGATTGTTTGCATGTATCATATCCTTGCTAAGAGTGAAAACAAAAAAGCAAGTTGTGTTGTTCTCTACGTTCTCTAACTATGTATTCTGCGATTGGTAACTTCTCTTTCCAATGGTGTGCTCGTTGCTCTTCACCTCCTTGGCTTTCCCTCCTTGGTCTCTCTTGTACTTCTACAACACTCTCAATTATGTGCCAAACTTCTAGTCTTGCATCTATAGTTAGGTCTTCTTCTATTTCAATCAGCCTTTATTAAATGCATGACAGCTGTCGTATTCTTCTGCTCCATGTCCCTCTCTCTCCTGACTTACCGGTACTTTTCTCCCTTCTTTTCGCCTCCCTACTCTCTACTTTCTGCACGCCTTTCCTCCCCCCCCCCTGAATTCTCTGGCTCTGTCCCTCCTGGACCCACATGCCCTCCTCTCGTGCTTTCTTGTAATTTCTCGCTTAACAACGACACAACCCCTGACTCTTTCACGTCCTTCACCTTCCACCTCTCCACACTGAGCCCTATATCCATCATATCCTTCTTTACCTGTCCTAGGTAAACCTCCTCTCTTTGCTCTGATCTCTTTCCTTGCCCGCGTTTCTCTCCTTCTCCTCTCTTTCTGTATCACTGGGCGTCTATTAGCTGCGCCATATGTATATTCTCCTTTACATACATCGCCCTTGCTTCCAATACTTTTCTTTTCCCAGCTGTTGCCGTATCCATCAGCAGCCTCGGTGCATCTACTAGTAGTAGGGAGATACATCTCGCGGGGCTGCCTGCTTACTGAATAGGTATGCGGCTGCCACCCATGGCAGCCTAGTGTCCCAATCTCTTTTGTACTTCTCTCCATAAGCCCTTAGTCCCTTCTTCATCGCTGCACAAATCTCTCGGTCGGCCAACCACGATGCGCGTGGTACCGTGAGGTGCTTCGGTGTCTTATTCCCGTCGCCTTTAACATCTGCCCGCATTCTCCCATTAATTATCTTGGAGTATGTGAGTTCTCTCTCTGCCCTGCGACAAGCCGCGCGGTGTGCAGCGACGTCATCATCTCCGTCCATTGATGTGGAGGAGTAAAGCCGACGACGTCATCGCCGGTATGTTGTAGACTTATCGCTGGCCATTTGGCTACCACCAACTACAAGCCACCGGTGAGTTCATACCTTCACAGCGTGAGTTGTATAATGTGGCTTCGCATCCGGGGTGAGTCACTTCCCCTTTAGTCGCATGTTTCTTGTTCAATCGTCATACGCAACGATGCATTAATGCAAATGATTTCATGTGCTTGGTGGTTATGGAAGGTTTTTCCCTGGCTTAGGAAGTGCGAAAAGACACATTCATATACGAGCGAACATCGTACGTTGCGTCGGAGACCAGACAATAGCTACACGATCGCATGCTTGCAAAGACATGTGCGGCATTGCCGTTTTCGAACCAACGTGCTAGATAGCCCCAAATTTCCTTCGAAGTATGTTTTTCATCTGTACCTACGCTTTGATTGGCAAACTAGCTCTGTGGGCAAAGGAGACAATCACCTACCTGTTTGCTAAGATATAAAGTGGTATAAGGTTTATGAGCATTCAAACGAAATAGATCTGCTTATAGGAATCGGATGACAGAAAACATGTCCGAACTTTCACACCTTCCGACGTATTTCGTTGGATGAAGGTGTCCACGATGCCACGACCCTGTTGAAAGGGTCAACAGAAATTTGGACTTTCAGCGACCTCACGACTTTACACATTCTTGTTCCACATCATTCTTCGAGCCGCAGGTGGGAGGGCGGGCGAAAAGAGGTCAACAGCTGTAAACGCTTCCACTACCCCTCTGCACCACGCACCAAACCCTTTCGTATCCTTGTTGCCTGTGGGATGTCGGTGGAGCTGCCACTGCTGGCGATGTGTGTCTAGTCTGAAGTACACATGATGCCCAACCAGTGCACGCGAATTTGCCCTGCACCGGATGGAAACGCTGCACCCGAGGTCTTTTCCCCAGCCTGTTGCACCCACGATACAAGCGCGTCGCGTGGTTATGGACCAATAGTAACGAACAGACCGAAGTCAAACTAAAGAGGCTGAAGTCAAAATGTCAACGGATAAGGTTACAGATAATATAAGCACCTGCGAATCCTTTTTAGCTAGCTGCGAATTGACGAAAATTATGCGAAATGCACGATACAGCTTATACGCCCCCTTCACAAGGCAACCGGGAGGGGCTCAAACAGGCATCAATTGTACAGAACATTGTTTGCAGCGCTTGACGGTTCCACACGGTAGAGATCGGTTGTGCACCGGACATTCGAGCTGGACACCCGATGCCTCCACACACCCCCACACGCAAATGTGTGGGTAGGGGAGCCGCATCCGCTGGGCTGGGGGCATACATACAAATAGTCTCTGCAAAATGTACAGAACTCGTAGATCGACATTTCCTTGTTTTCCTAGCAGCTTGTTTCTTTCCAAGATGCTGACTCCTCCTCGAACCCTGAGTCCGAGTCGTCCGAGCCTCACGCCCGTGATTGCGGCGCCAGCAAAAACCCTCTTAATCGCAGCGCTGCTTCTCCTCTTGCTTCAAGTGCACGTCCGTCCGACATTTCTGGCAGCATGTGCACAAACCGTACCGCACCGATCCAGGCGAGTCCCCGGCGCGGCTTCTGCTACCAGAGCCATGGGACGGCTGTCTGCGCGCGGCAGGGTCGTGCGCTCGCCGCAGCATTCCTCGACGAACTCGGCGGCTGCTGCGACAACCGGCGCAGCTAGTGCGAAAACCGCCACTGGAGTCGCCGTGAAGTCTCCCGCAGCGGCCGGAGGGTGTTCGGCGTCGTCGATCGCAGGCTACACGTCGTCCGTCGCACTCTCTGGATCCGAGTACGGCCTCCCTCGCTTCTCCCTCACTCCCACTCCCCACTCCCACCGCACCATTGTGCTCTCCGACTCTGACCATCACCTCTTTGACGCTCCCCCCGCTCCCCCCACAACTCTCCCTCCCTTCTCGCTTGCCCAGTCTCGTGCTCCACTGGGCCCAAGGCGCGGGCGGCGGCAGTCTTTCCCTCGCCATGGAGGTTGGCGGCGCGGCGGCCGGTGGATGGGTGGCGGTGGCGTGGTCGCCGGACGGCAGCATGCCTGGCTCCGACGCCGTGATTGGCGGGCTTCCGGGCGGCGCGGTGAAGGCGTACGCCATAAGCGGGTACAGCGAGGCGGACGTGAGCCCCACCAGCCGATTCTCCATCGGCTCCGCCTCCTCCGCCAATGGCGGCGCGCTCATCAAGTAGGACTCGCCGCCGCTGCGAGACTTGACCTTTAGTGATTGCGTCGGCTCGTGAATTCATCATTGGAGATGTGCCATGTGCGTACCACAACATTCGCGTTGTCGTGTCCGCGCCGCGTGCTGGTACCGTCATTTTTAGTAGACCGCTCACTCGACTCCCACGGCCGATGATTCCATGCGGATATGCGTTTACCTCTTATCTGGTCCCCCTCTCATTGCGCCGCTCTCTGTGCTTTCCTGCTCGCTACCGCAGGTTCTCTCGGTCATCTGGCGACGGCGCAGTGCCGGTGAGCATGGCGGGGAGCAACAGCATCATCTGGGCCTTCTCCAGCGATCAGTCGCCAACTCTCGCCAACCACGGCGGCAACTAGTGCGTCCCCCGTAGCCACAACCCGCTCTCCCTCGTTCTAGCACCCTCTGCCACCCACTATCTTGCTGCATCACCACTCTCACCTCTGCTCTCTCTGCTCTACCCTCGTCACTTTTAAGTTGCTTTTTGCGTTTGCCTTTTCCTCGATGTACATGTGTTTACCACCAGAGGAGCTTGTCTTGTGCTGGCGTCAGCTACTGCCTAGGCCCACTATCCTCCCACGTGGAGGCGCAGGCTGAACAGGGTGTCCGTGTTTGTCCCCCGTGTGTCCCTCTCTCACCCTGTGATGATGTCTTGCAGTGGCCAGGCAGATGTGGACTTCAGCTGCACGGGGTCAACTGGGGGAGGGACGGGCGGCGGCACTGGGGGCGGCACTGGCGGCGGCACTGGTGGCGGCACTGGTGACGGGAACGGGGGTGGAACCGGCGGAGACACTGGTGGGGGCGACTACGGTGGTGGCAACGGTGGTGATTACGGGGATGGCTCTGATTATGGGAGTGGCGATGATTTCGGCAATGGTGATGGTTCTGGCAACGGTGGTGATTATGGCGATGGTGGTGATTATGGGGGTGGAGATGGCAATGGGGATGGCAGCGGTGGTGATGGTGATTATGACGGAGATGACAATGGGAACGGCGATTATGGGGATGATGACTACAGTGGTGGAGGCGACGACTATACTGGAGATGACAGCAACGGTGACTATAACGAAGGAGACTACAGTGGAGATTACAGTGCAGGGGATTACACGGACGACGGCACAGCTGGTTCTGGTGGGAGTGCTGCTGCTAGTACGTTGGCATATGGGAAAATGGGCAAGCTGTGGGGCCGCTTCAAGCAATGGTTGCGAACTTCTGCTAGTAAGGCTGGCAACAGGTCAACGCAGTCCCGCAGGGGAACAAGAAAGCATGGATTCAGGAGTAAGGGAACTGCGCAGGCTGCTACTGCAGGCCACATGGGCGCACGTGTGTGGCAGGCAAGACATGCCCAGAGAAAGAAAGTCAATGGGGCCCAGGGAGTCAATGCAGTCAACAGGGTGAATGGGAGCGGCACTGCTGGTTTGAAGGCTGTGGAGGAGGCACATGCGATGACGCATAAGCAGCAGGTGCAGCACAGGCCATTTGCTGCAGGGCGAGCAGGAGGCAATGCTGGGGGAGATGCTGCACCGGCAGCCACGGCCAAAACCACGGTTGCAGGGAAAACACCGTGAGGGTGGAGCTCCAGTTGATCCAGGGAAGGTTGTCAGTGCACGATTCAGGTTCTCCTATAGGTGGCAGGCGAGATGTGATCTCTTGTTTGAGGAATTCAAGTTACTGGTAGGTACCTCTCCCTCTCACCTGTGCTATGGGCACATGGGTTGTACACACGCAAACATAAATGTTTTATAATCATACGTTGTTACAGTTAGGTACTAAGACCGAGCTTTTCAAACCAACTTGCAAGTCTCGTCTTATCGACCTTCCACGGCAGCACCAAGTCCTTTCTGGGGTCAGTAATTGTGTAGTTCCACTGTTTCGGGTCAACTCCATCCTGCTTGCGCTTCTTCATGCCCCTCCAGATAACCCGCTTCTGCTTCTCGCTCATCCAGCACCACGGTTTCAGCCTCTCATCAATCCCGTCATGCACCGCCCACCACCGTCGGAAGGCAACGTCGTTCACAAACTTGAGTTCATACAACGATGATGCCAGGTTGCAGTCAAAGTCGCGGAAACATGCCCAGGGCTTCCAGCCAAGGTAATGAATCGTGTGCATCTGGGGTGGGTCGGACGCGAAGAGAGCATTCTGCGCAGCCAGGTAACGTTGCCCGTGGAGTGGCTTGTGCTTGAGGAGGTTGCTGTAGTCTGGTAGGCGGTGCCACCAGGGGTATGCGTTGTTTATAAAGCCCTGGCAGGTCCAAGGCAGGAGCGCATGTGGGTAAGTGGAAACAGGGAGAAGAGATTGAAGAGCTCGTTCTCCGGCCAAGAAGACACTCTTTGGTCTCAGATGGTTTCTGGCCAAGCTGACACATACTGGTGAAATGAACTTGTGAGCAGTAAGAGCCAGCGCACGAAGCCGAGTAAGAGACAATGCTGGATTGCACATAAGCATTGCCATACACAATTCACCCAACACCGGACCCTTCAGCACTGGGGAATCGAGCCTCTCCTCACCAGAGCAGGTAGCCATTCGCACCTGGAATCCATGATTGTACGACACCACGTAGCGGATGTTGGCAGAGAGAAACGCGTGCGTGCAGAGGGAGGGCTTTGATGACCATGAGGCCTCCGTTGAATATGTTGTCGTCGTTGCCGCCCACGGAGAGCTCGGGGAAGAGGAAGTGGTGCGTGAGGGAGCGGAATGGGAGGAAGTCCGAGTCTATGTACACGACGCGCTTGTACTCTGTCAACTGCCACAGCCGCAAATTGCTGCGTGGGGGTGCAATCAGGGCAGGAGGAATCAGGGGAGGGTGGAGAATGGGAGAGAGGAAAGCAATGCGGGAGACATCATGGGTGGGTGAGAGAGCCTTGTTCTCTACTCCTCTCCTCTCCCCTCCACAGTTCGTCTCAGCTTCACGATCAAGATCCCGCCTTCGCCCATTTCATCTCACATCTTGATCATCTCCTGCATGCCATCACCCACCCGCACGTGCGCACACCTGAAGTTGTACTCGCTGTAGAGACCGGGCTTCGCCGTCGGGCTCCTTATTCGTGTTATAGTCAGTTGATGGGTTGTGGCAGTTGACAGAGTACAAGCGCGTCGTGTTATTGCTTTACTACCCATCCTTCACTCTGTTATTGCTTTACTACCCATCCTTTGATGGCGGCTCCCGCGAATAGGGTTCGCAGCGTCGTCGGCTTCACCACAGGGGCAAACAGCTCCTTGAAGTCCACCTTCTCCTTCTGCTGGTACCCCTTGGCTACAAGCCTAGACTTGTAGCGCTCGATCTTGCCGTCGGCATCCGACTTGATTTTGAAGAGCCACTTGGACGTTATCGCCGTACGCCCCTCCGGTAGCTCCACCAATTCAAACGTGTCATTCTCCTCGATGCTCTTCAGCTCACTCTCCATGGCCTTCTTCCACTCCTCAGCATCACTACTCTCCAAAGCCTCCTTGAGAGTTGCTGGTTCTCCCGGCATCTCCACCGGAGAGAAGAACGCGAAGGCACACTCCTCGTAGTCACTCTCCTCGTCGTCTCCGACCATCATTGCCGCTCCGGCCAGGGCTGTCTTGCCCTGCTTTCCCGGCGCATCATAGGTCAGCCTATTAGGGGGTTGAACTCTCCTCTTCCCCCTTCCTTCCTCCTCAGCTGCAGGGACTTGAAGGCCTTGGCGTTGCTGCGGTGTGGCTCGAATCCGTGGAGCACTCGTAGTACGGGAAGGAAGTGACGGTGCACGCTCGCTCACTTGCTGCACCTCCTCCTCTTCTTCCTCTGCATCATTGGCCTCCTCTCCCCCATTCACAAGGGAGGATTGCCTTGTGGTTGTGCTGCCGCTGCTCAGTTCCAAAGGCAGCTCCACATGCTCCAAACCGGAACTCTTCACCTCCCCAAACCGCACGCCTATCTTCGCCTCATTCTCCGCCTTCCAATCCTTGTACATGAAGTTCTCCATGAACTTGCAGTCCCTGCTCACCAAGAACTTCTTGGTGAATGGGTCCCAAAGAAGCCATCCCTTGCTGTTTTGAGCCATGCCCAAGTGCACGGCCCACACCGCCTTGGCACCAAGCTTGTTGTGCCGAAGATGCTTAGGCACGAGCGCCATGCACATGCACACGAACACCCGAAGCATATCCACCTTTGGCTTCCTTCCTAGCCACTCCACATAGGGCACCCATTTGTCTGCTCCCACATGAGTCAAGGCTCTGTTCTTGGCCACACACGCGCTCCGCACCGCATCAGGCCAGAAATAGTCGGGTAGCCCGGCTTCAATGAGCAACCCGCGTGCCGCCTCCGTGATTGTGCAGTTCGCTCGCTCGGCGATGCCGTTCATTGCAGGGGAGTATGGCATGGTGAGGGAGTGCCGAATACCATTCTTCTTCAGCCACAACCCAAACTCCTTGCTCAGGAACTCTCCCCCTCGATCGGTGCGGATTGACTTGACTAGACGGTCTTGTTGCCGCTCCACCATCGGGAACCAATCCGTCTTCAACGTTTCAGCCACGTCGCTCTTCTTGGCCAGCACATACACCCAAGTCATGCGGGTGTAGACGTCGACAATGGTGAGAAAATACTCAGCTCCAGCAGCTCCAAGATTCAGGGGGCCCACCACGTCCATCACCACCTCATCAAGCGGTGCCTTTGCCGTTGCCTCCGAACTAGGGAACGGAAACCGGGTGAACTTGGCTTGAATGCACGTCGGGCAGCCAAGCACCTCATCGGGCTCCCCCTTCACACGTATGCCAGCAACCATCTCATTCTTCACTAGCTGCTGCAAGATGGGCAGGGCCACATGCCCCATGCGCCGATGCAAGGTGAGCCAATCACACTCCCCCGTAGCCGAAGTTGGATTGGAGAATGCCGCGCTCGCAATAGCGCCCCACATACTCTCTCCGTAGTCCTCCTCCGCTGCTGCCTCTGGGTTCTCCTCACCCTTTTGCTGCTCCTTGGTTGCTGCACCACTCTCCTTAGGTTCACTGAACTTGCTGGTCCCTCCAGG